AGACCCCCCCCCCCCCCCCCCCCCCCCCCCCCCCCCCCCCCCCCCCCCCCCCCCCCCCCCCCCCCCCCCCCCCCCCCCCGCGCCACATGCCGCTAGCGATACGGAAGGATTTGACCGGCCGTATTTGGATTGGGCAGAGGCTTGACGTTTGAGAGGATGATTTGGGAGTCGGACGCCACGGCACATCATTCTATGGTTCCTTCCCAGATTAGCGCCCGGCCGATCGCCTTTCAAAACCCACGCGATCTTCACTTGGATTTTCCACGCCTGTACCCAGGCAAAGGGTGAACCTAAAGTCGCGCACCTGTAGTCCCGTCTAGAGCACTCGATGCATCGGTGGATTAGCCCATAGATGGCTTGCCAGTGTGCATGCTATCGATATTGTATCCTGCCCTCCGTATCTGCACGTTGGTGGCTAAATCCTGCACCTCGGCGTGCTGACCCCCATTGTTGTCGGTTGACTTATCGGCGGACCGGTTAAACGCGCTAATCCTCGATGGTGCGTCGCACATTCAGTAGCTCCACCGCTGCAATCGAAACTCTGTCGACTAGTAATTCTGCTGACTCGATACGACCCAGCTGGACATGGCGTCATGCAAAGTTAAAGAGTTGAGGCAGAAAATCTGTGACGTGTGGCTGGACAGTGGCGAGCTGCTTTATGTGTTGTTCGATAGGCGGTGTTGCAGGGTCAATAGACGCGGAACAACGTCCTAATCTTAACAATAGGATAACCTGCAAGGGTGCTTATCAAGGGCGACGTGCATGACGGCACGCTTTGATCGTTGCCTTGGTTGGCGACGTGGGATTCAACCGCTCGCGGGACGGGGACTTGTCGTAAAAGCAATTTGCAGGGTCCTGTACCCCTTCCCAAGATGTATGCCGCTTGTTCACAACATCTCGGAGTGGCGCGTGTGTAGACCTGGACGTCAGAGGAATTGCGGCGTAGCATACCGACCACTTCGGTCGGTCCAAGACACCAAGTGCCCGGTTCCGTGGAGGACTAGGACTTCAGGCGTCTCCACTTTCGACCTGACTCCCACCCGCTACAGCGCACGAGGCTGGCTGGACAATCCCGCTACGCGAAGCCGAGGAGGTCACCGAACGTTCGACAAAAGTAAATTCTCCTCCGGCCCAAACGTCAAAACTGGCGCACGCCCAGTATAGCAGCGGCTAAGCTAAGCTGTTCCACTTAGCCCAGGCACAAGCGTGAGAAATGCAAGGTATCCGAATGCGACACATGATTTCACATCCCCTTTTGACATCGATCTCGATCATGACCCGTAGACTTATGGTGTTGCACCGGCGAAACAGATGTTCGTCGCTGCTAGTAAAATTGCCACCGTCCCAACATCGCGGCCCACCAAGGCCCAGCAGGCGGGAGAGCGACCGGGGCGTGCGCTGGCAAGAATATCGATAGATGACAGGATCGCTAGGTGCAGCCGGTGGCCTGGCGGTGCCGCCGGTTCTGGATGGTGAGGTATGCGAGATAGCGTTTGTGACAGACGCAGTGACCTCAATCGGGACATTCGCGTAAGAAGTCTTGTTGAGACTCGAACGTGCTAGACAAGGGGTATGCCGAACATTCGATAGTGTGTAGCATGAGTGTATCTTTGACCTGGTCGCTAAGGATTGTGGCGGGGCCTTGTTTCGCGTAGTCGGAGAGAATTGTGTAGACACTACCAACTGTGCCGCGTTGATAACCTCTGCTCGTCGACCGCTTCAGATCTCTTTCCAGTCTCTACACTCTTGCGCTTTTACTGATCTTCGCAGGGCTCCTTGCCCATTCCTTCGTTTCTTGGCTCAGACCACAACACCCATCTCTTAGCAGATTTGTCTGCTTCATACAATCGCTTAGCAACATCCCTTAACTACCCATACCACCCATCTTAATCCTTGTGACATCCCAGACATGTCTTCCGCAACACCTTCCCACGATGGGGACAGGCCCTTCATCCCCTCCAGCCGGCAATCGTTCAGTGGCAGTGTCAACGATTCGCGCTACTCCACACCTCAGACACCCACAGGTCGCCCTCCGATGTCCCGACCGTTGACCATGAAGATCGATGAAGATTCAAGGTACCGTGCTGTGAGTACAATCATCAGCAATCTTAGAAACCCCATCTCACACCTCACAGATCATCAAGCACCTTTACGCTAAGGCCTGCTCCATGCGATGGATGACTTCCAGTGCCCTATCGCCCGGCTCCTGCGAGGGTGTGTTGATCCGAAAGGGTCAAGGAGAATACGTCACAGAACCTGTAGCGGCCAACAAGGACCTCCTCTCGGCAGTGAAGAGGATCAACCCAGGTGTTGCTCTCACCATGAGCACTGACGGCACCCAAGCCATCTTCGACGTGCTCGAGCCCTTCGAGACGGAGTTGATGTTCCAGAACGGCTCTCAGATCCAAATCTTTGAATCCATGGCAGAGGTAGCCACCTCCAGTACCATCCGCAAATTCCAATATGCAGCTCTCATTCGTCAGGAGAGGCTCCTTCTTGTGTGGCACGACGACCTTGGTGCTATTCTTTCCCAGGCAATGGAGATCGAATCCAGGATCCTGGCCTTGGTCTGGGGTACTTCCAAGAACCCCTTCAGTGGTTTCGACAGCGCCATCCAGTCCAGCGCCAACTCTACTCTTGGAGGATCCACTGTCGACTTCGCTATCGACGGCAAGAAGGATGATGTTGAGGTCAACGCTGAAGAGGTCGATGGTGATCTTGAGAAGGCTGATGGCCCCAAGGAGTCGCTTGCACGCCCCCTCATTTTCACCAGTTCCATCTTCGTTGGTCTTGCCATGGTCTTGATCATCATCCTCGTCATCGGTCTTGGTAACAAAGCCATCATCCTTCAGACAATGACTGACCACTTTTACCCTCGTATTCTTCTCATCTTGACGGAGCCGCTCTGGATCGCTTTGGGTCTTTTCTTCGTCGTTGTCGTCATGGGTAACATCTTTGAGGTTTTCGGACCTGTCACTGGTGTCAAGTCAAACAGCCGTTTCCACTCAGCCATCAAGCCTAATCTCGCTCAAGCCCGCGCTCAAGGATTCACGCCATCCACCATCACTATCCAAATGCCAATTTACACCGAGTCACTAGAGGGTGTCGTCAAGCCTACTGTCGCCAGTTTGCAAGCCGCCATCTCCTACTACGAGTCTCGCGGTGGAACTGCGCGCATCTTCATCAACGACGACGGTATGGCTGTTCGGTCTGAGGAGGACAACGAGAAGTTCCTTCGCTTCTACGAGAACAACAACATCGGATGGGTCTCGCGTCCCAAGCACAACCATGAAGGATTCGTTCGCCGTGGAAAGTTCAAGAAGGCCTCTAACATGAACTTCGCCCTCAACACCTCCAACAAGGTAGAGGATGTTCTCCAAAGCTTGGTCGACAATCGCTATGACAAGGGTAACGCTTCTATATCCGAGGAGGAGGAGCTTGCGCTCTACCACGAGGCTCTCGAACAGGTTCTTACTGCTGATCCCCGCGCGAAGGCTGGTGGTAACATCCGTATGGGTGAGATCATCCTTATCGTCGACTCTGATACCATCGTTCCCGAAGATTGTCTCATGTACGGAGCTGCAGAGATGTTCTTGTCGCCTGAAGTCGCTATCGTTCAACATGCAACTGGTGTCATGCAAGTCTCATGGGATTACTTTGAGAACGGTATCACTTACTTCACCAACCTTGTCTACACTGCTATTCGCTTCTCGGTCGGTAGTGGTGAAGTCGCCCCCTTCGTCGGTCACAACGCTTTCTTACGCTGGCAAGCTGTCCAGTCAGTCGGCAACCCCCCTGAAGATGATGGTTACGTCTGCTTTTGGTCGGAGAGCCACGTTTCCGAGGATTTCGATATTGCGCTCCGTCTCCAGATCAAGGGTAACATCGTCCGCCTTGCTAGCTACCACGGCCGTGGTTTCAAAGAGGGTGTCTCGCTATCCGTCTTCGACGAGTTGGACCGATGGGAGAAATACGCGTACGGTTGCAACGAATTGGTCTTCAACCCCGTCCACACCTGGTTGTGGAAGTCGCCATTCACCAAGCTCTTCCGCACCTTCATCTTCTCCAACATCCAGCTGTCTTCCAAGATCTCTATCTGCGGTTACATCTTCTCTTACTACGCTCTCGGTTCGGCTGTTCCCCTTGGTGCCCTCAACTACTTCCTTGTCGGATGGCTGAACGGCGACCTCGACAAGTACTATGTCGAATCTTGGAAGATCTTCATCGTCTTGCTCATCGTCTTCAACGGAATGTCAAACGTCTGCTTTGCCATTATGCGCTACCGTATTGGTGAGGCCAGTTTGTTGGGTGCTTTCTTCGAGAACCTCAAGTGGATGCCCTTCTTCATGATCTTCTTCGGTGGTGTCTCATTCCACATCCTGCTCGCCATTTGCTCGCACATGTTCTGCATCGACATGAGTTGGGGTGCCACAGCGAAGGAGAAGGACAACTCCAACTTCTTCGCAGAGTTGCCCAAGATCTGGAAGCGCTTCAAGTGGATGTACATGATCATGATTGCCATGATTGGTGGCATGATCTACCTTGGATGCTTCGCTCCTCATGGATGGGAGATTACCGGTTTGACCGCTGTCTTGCCGTAAGTACTGCCTTTTACTCCAGTATCATTGACACTTCGCTAACCGTACCTAGTTGGGCCGTGACCGTTATCATGCACTGCCTGTTGCCCATTGTACTGAACCCGTCGCTGACGGTCTTCAACTACTGAGTCCGGGTCACGATTGGATGGATTTTCTTTTGTTTGTTTAAGCTGCCGCGGTATTGGGAATTGGAAGCCAGTTGGCACCATGGTTCGGGATACATAGAGCGGCGGATCATCGCATTATGGAGGATGATATCCCCTTGTCGGCGTTGGCTTTAGATTTGTATGACCTTTTTTATAGGTTAATTTCTAATCACTCGTTACCAAAATGACATGTCTTGTACTCACAGCCACATCCCATGCGCGCGACTGCCCTTGGCCTGACTATTCCCACAAAGGTGTCGCATTGAATGGATACGATATTTTCGGTGTCGCACCGAGATAAGATGGATTCTGCGATGGATTTGGTGCACATAGGAATGTGCGGTGTTGCACGTTGTGAGTTGCTGGCAGCTGCGATGCGCTCTTGTTACGGCAAACTCGGGTCGCCTGATGGCTGGCTCTTTTTCAGCTGAAAAACAGCCGGGCGCAACCATGACTGGGCATCTGGCCAACAAGCCACCAGTCTCTCATCGTCACCACACTACCTTTTTCAGCCATTCAGAGCCGGAGGTGGCAGAAACAGACTCCAATCGGCCTTGATCTTCCAATGAAAGTGTCTCTCACGTATCTCGATACAGCAGTGCTCTGCCCGGCGATCCCGATGCGGCTTGCGCTCATGTACGCTACATGTGGCAGCACCATTGAGAAGTCTGTATTTCATACTACACGGTCGATCTAAGATGTTTGGCATGCGTGTGTATCAGCGACATGCTCAGTCTATTCGGCGACGGCTCAGTCTGCCGCGCGCAGTCGTCGCCCATCTGCCAGCTGATATTGTCGCGCCTTCATAGTCTCGTGCCAGCTTGCCATTGTCTAGAATATAAGGTGCACACATCTGTCAAGCCTGTCTGAGCACATAGTGTCAGTATGGGGTTCGTCTTGCTGTGTAGGTATGTTCATGTGTATATTCATGTAGCAGCTGAGGGTATGCACCAGTACGAAGGAGCCCGTTTCGTCCAAGTTAAAGCACTTGAAAAAAAGTAGTCTCAAGTCATACGCTGTTCTTCTTCTGTCATATCTGCATAAACGTGTTTGAGGGGTGCAAGAGAAAGCTGGGTCGGACACTTTGCTCCCTGGCGATCAGTAGGACATGTGGACCCTTCGACGTCAGCCTTTGGTGGGGCTGAAACGTGCGCTAGCAGCATTCACATACACAGCTCACCCCGCCGTGTCGCTCGACGCCTGCACACACACACTCTCTCTCTATACCCCCATAAACTCTTCCCTGATTATTCACAAGAGCTCACGACAGCACACGCACGATGCCGCAGATCAGCGACATCTGGCTCCCATGCCTCATTCTCGTCGTGTTTTGGGCCAGGCCCACGGCAGCTTTCGGTGCCGGCAACATTGCGAGCTTGAGCGCCATTGAGGGACAGAACTGGCGCCATGGAGATATCGAGGACACGCTGCTCACCCTGCTCATTAGCGGCCAGACTGGCAAGAAGTTCAGCAAGATGGATGTTAAGCGCGTCTACTTTGGCAACTGGCTTCGCGACTACTCGCAGGCTGTCGATGTCGGCACCGTCAAGATGGTCTCTGCAGAGGCCATCCGCATCCTCCTCTGGGTGCTCGGCTTCATGAGCTTCGGCTACGGAACCAAGGAGTTCGAGGTTACGCGCGATCGCCTTGGATGCTACCGACCAGAAGAGTAAGAAATGTCCCTGCACAGACTGCACGTGAAACAAACACTGACTTGGTACACCCGCCTTTAGGCATATTGACAACCCCAAGGTTAGCACATGGCCTGCCCACTCATGACTAGAGACTGACTGTCCAGGACTATGCCGACAACCTCGACGCCCGCGACTACGACCGACGCCTACGAGGCCCCGTTGACGAGAGACGCGAGCTTAGTGTCGACGAGCGGACCGGTCTGAAAAACTACATCGCCTCAGAAGACTTGGGCATCACAACATCGGCGGGCATGGTCCGCGACCTGCTCAGGCGTTGCATTGATCTCGGTCGACGCTCAGGAGGACGTGGTCCCGACTTCTACGAAGCCTTGAGACTGCTCGGCACTGCAACCCATTGTATGGAGGACTACTCTGCCCACTCAAACTACGTCGAGCTTGCCTTGATTGAGATCGACGAAGAGAATCGTGACATATTCCCTCACGTGGGCAGAAACGCCCTGTTTGATGTCCGCGCCGCCGGAAAGCAGGTATACCCCATAATAACAGGTACATTCGGTGGTGTCGACTTTTTGCACTCAGTGTGCGGAGAGATTACCGACAAGGCCACACAATCCGAGCTGCAGGAACTCGAAGGCGCAATTGCCAATGCTGAAAGGAGCGAGAACAAGAGCAAAATTCAGGAGCTTCTCGCCAAGCTTCCAGACGGCATCTTTGGCGGCAAAGACGAATCTGGCAAGGCTGACGAGCTCGCCGACAACGCCAACGCTGCTGCCATGGGAAACATCCAGATTACTCCCAAGGAACCTGAAGCCTTTACAGAGCAGATTGGCGAGCTGGTCAAGCAAATTTATCCCATTATGGAGTTCCACGATGAGATCATGCAATCCATCGCTGAGTTTATCGAGAAGATTCCGATCCTACCAGACCTGATCGAGGAGATTCAAAGCCAAGTTACCGTCTTTGTTTTCAGTCTCCTTGCGCCTTATATCTTGCCTATTCTTAGCCAGGTCAAGGCTGAGCTTGAGACTGGATCCAGCGAGGTTATTGCAAGCTCCCGCGAGAAGCAGCACATTGTCTTTAACGACGACTACTCAACCGATCCAACTCACAGCATGCTCTCCAAGGACCACTTTTCCAACGTGCTCAACGAGCCTGCCGGTCGAGTAGCGTCTGCCGTACTGAGCTGGGCTGTTCCCCAAGTCGTTCAGTGCTGGGACGGTGAGGCTGATCCCGAGGAAACCATTGATCGCATCATCAAGGGTGTCTTCCACCATCCTGCCGTTGCTATGGCAGAGAAGAGACATGGCGGAGGAAGGGATCGCGGAGCTACACAATGCCATCAAATCATGCTCGACACTGTCGGAAAATGGTGGGATTCCAAAGATAGCAGAGCCAAGCGTGAGTTCCGTGACCAACTCAGTCGCGACGGTGTACAAAACCTTCGCAACCACAAGGAGAACGTACACGACAAGGGCCACGGCTGCGGCAAACCTCTGGGTATGGCGAATAACTTCGGTTCTTCCGGCGGACAGGGTGGTGTTAACCCACAGATTCAGCAAGCCACTGATCATGTTGGCAAGCTTGCTGGTGAAGCTGTAGGTGGCGGCGCCCTGGGCGGTCTTGTCGGTGGTCTAGTCGGCGGCATTGGTGGCTCTCTGCTTGGTGACGCTTTTGGAGGGAACGAAAAGAAGGGCCGCAAGGAAGAGCATTACGGCCAAGATGGTTCCTACACTCAATCATACTCCGAAACTGGTCATCACCAGGCATCTTCGTATGGTGATAGCGATCGCTACGGTCGCGCTGAGTATGAGCAGACACAATACCCAAGCGGTGGACGTCGCGAAGAGTACTCCCGTCAGGAGCGTGATGAGCGTGGCGGGTCCTACAGCTACGAGCAGAGCGTTGAGACTACCGGCTACAGTGGTTCCAGTGGATATGAGCGTCGGGAGGAGCGGCGTGTACAGCACGGCAGTGAATGGCGCTCCGAGGAGACGCGCGAAGGCTTCGACCGCTCAGGGGAGTACTACTCTGAGGAGAAAGAGTAAGTCACACATTTGTACTATCGTGGTTGTAGGCTAACAAATGTTCAGACGACGTGGTAAGTCCAAGAAACACTCCGACGACGACGATTCGAACGATTCGGGCGGCGAAGATTCGTACGAGAAGCGAATGAAGAAGGAACGCAAGAAGCGTGAAAAGGAGGAGAAAAAGCGCAATAAATACCGGAAGCACGGCAGCGGTGACGAAGACTCGGATGCTGACAAACGCCGCTCAGGATCGGGTGAATACAGACGTCGCTCTCGCTCCCGCGAGCAAGAGCACCGTCGCAAGAAGAGTAGCAGCCGCTCACCCAAGCGTCATTCTGGAGGCCACTCGGGAGGCTATGGCCAGGAGCAGAGCTACGGCCAGGAGTCGAGCTACGGTCGTCGTCAGGAGGAACCCAGCTATGGCCGTGAACAACCATCCAGGTACGAACGTCAAGAATACGGCGGTGAAACTGGAGGCTACGGCCGTCAGCAGCCGCAGTATGGTGCTGACTCATACAGTACTGGTGGATACGGCCGTCAAGAGGAGTCCGGATATGGCCGCCGCCAGGAAGAGTCGAATTACGGCCGCCAAGAGTATGGCCGCCAGGAATCATCTCGTTACGGTGCTGACCCTTACAGCTCCGGTGGATATGGTCGTTCAGAAGGTCAGGAATACGGTGGTGAACGATCCGATCAGGCTTATGGCGCCTCTGGTGTCCCTGGAGGCTTTGGCGAAGAGCCTCAAGGCTACGGTCGTCGCCGTGATGACGAAGATGAATATGGCCAGAGGAGACAAGAATATGGCTCTGGCGGCTATGGTGGCTCTGGAGGATACGGTGAGGAGGGGTATGGAAGACGGTACTAGATATGACGTCTTCTTCGCGGGGTCTAAAGTGGCGCTTAGCGTTGCTTTGTGGGCTTGGAGTACCAAGATGACTGTGCTGCAGTGCCTACATGAGCAGCCTAAACGAGTTAGCATATCCTACGCTGATTCGCGAATGTCATTCTGACCTCATGGACCCTTGATGTATTCGTCGTGATTTACCGCCTTGTGTGGGTACAGGTTCCGCTGGCTTCATCTCATACCTTTCTCATCTCTTTTTGTCTAACCTCTCATCAATTTACTTCTCAGTCAGATGACCGATACGACAAAGAGGAGAGTGCTTAACGGCCATCGTTCTAGTACGCGAATACACAAGCAGATTTCGATAGCAAGAAACGAAGGAGCAGATTCCTTAATTGTACAATTTATTATCATGCAGTCTGAAAACTAAGCATCTCTAGATCTTACAGTCTTACACCAGGTTGAAATCCCTTGCTGAAGGGATAGTCAATATATCCTTGAAGGCTCTCTGGTGTGTAGAATGTACTTCGATCATATTTGTTCAATTCCAGACCATTCCTTAGTCTGTATGGTAAGTCTGGATTGGACACAAAGTGCCGTCCGAAGACGAAGACGACGTCTGATGCACCATACTTCTCATCAGCGGCTTCAAACACGTTGCCTGGAGTATAGCCACCAGCTATCAAAACAGGTGTTACATTATCCCAGATATTAAGCAGGAAATCAATGCTCTGAGTGGACTCGCAATCGACGTTATTGTCCACCCGGGACTCGATTATATGTAGATAGCCGATTTGTAGTTCCTTGAGTTGCGCGGCAAGGTGGGAAAATGTGGGAATAGGGTCGGACATGAGCATGCCTTGGAAAGAACTCCATGGACTCAAGCGGAATCCCACGCGATCTGATCCAATAGCGGCTGCGACAGCCTTTGCAACCTCGATGCCGAATTTACTGCGATTCTCTACGCTTCCGCCCCAAGTATCGCGCCGCTGGTTGCATGTGTCTTGCAAAAACTGATCGACTAGATATCCGTTCGCGCCGTGTATCTCTATGCCATCAAATCCAGCAGCGATAGCATTCTTTGCTGCTTGCGCAAAGTCCGCAACACAACCCCAAATTTCATCTTCAGTCATTGCGCGCGGTACCGTAGTTGAACCACCTTTAGGTGCAAACCCCTCCCCAGGCATCGGTATGGCACTTGAGCTCAACAACTCATACCCGCCTGCTCTGAGCTGCTCGGCGTCCGCTGCTCGGCCTGGAGCAACCAATTGGCATACAATACTACAGCCACGCTCATGAACTGCGTTGGTGATGTCTCTCCATCCTGTGATGTGAGCTTCATTCCAAAGCGCAGGGCCGTGTGGTACTCCACCATGCGCCGGAGAGATTTGGGTCGCTTCAGCGATGATAAGGGTCCCGGGTACAGCAGCTCGCTGGGCATAATACTCCACAGCCATAGGGAGCTGGACGTGATCTTTATCCGCGCGTAGACGCGTCAATGGCGCCATGGCGACCCTGTGTTGTAGGTCGACGCGTCCTATTCGGATAGGCGCAAATAGTTTTGAGTGAACCATGATAGACTCGGAGCTGAAGAAATGGAGTGCCTGAAAGAGGTCGTAGACAGGATGTCGACAAGGGAAGAGAGTAGTAAAGTCAATGAAGAATAGGAAAATGGATCATAAGAAAAGTTTTCAGTCATAGCAGATGTTGTGGACACCGTCATGACGAATATTTTGGCAGCTGAGCTAAGCCGTTGTAAAAAAAAATCTTTCTTGTTGCTTGTTAATCAAACCTGACCTACGCTCTGAATTGTTAAATGATGTTGGCTCAAACGTTCTTGATTTTGCCAACAGCCAGATGCACAATATTGCAAAAGGGCATGCGTCGATTAGAATGGCAAACGAGAGAAAAGCCGAGCAGGAGCTAGTTGAATTGATTAGGTAGGTTGGAGCTTTGGGGTAAGTTGAGTTGGAGCTAACCGATTTAGAACAAGCCGAGTTGGAGCTTGCTACCTAGGCATGTAGCCGAGTTGGAGTAGGCTGTTTTGAAGCATGCTACACAACAACTTTGTAGCCGAAGAACTCGTATACAAGGTGAAATGCTGTCGTCAGATATATGCTGGTGCCATGGAAAATACCGCTTGTGTCACGGAAGTCCTCTCAAAACGGGTATCTTCATGAAATTGAGATATGATGACTGAATGCGCTAGCTTCCAAGAGTATTTAAAACCAATGTGGCCTTACGATTCGTTGAACGATGATATGGAAACTAAACGGAACCCCCTGAAAAGAACTCTTGTGAGAGTAATATGTCGAGTAGGTCGACGAGACCATTGTGTTCTTTACGCGGTCACGCGATGATTGATACGTCATGGATTCGACCACCTAGGTGACATCACGACTCCCGTAAGTACACATGTACTTAAAGTTCTGGAAGTAGTTATTACAGTGCGGAAGTGTCACTACTTTCCAATAAATTCATACTTAATCTCGAAAGCTATGTCGTCGCCTTTAACGATAGTTGTCACCGGCTCAAATCGTGGGATCGGACAAGGCATCGTCCATCTCCTCGCCAGCACACAGCACCCACAACCCCTACACATCTACGCCACTTCTCGTGGTGGCATAGATCTGAAAGCCCAAGTTCAACCTCCAAACGAAATCAAATATGCAAAATTGGACGTCTCAGACAAATCATCCATAACGTCCTTTCTCAAATTAGCGCTTCACAACAACGGCAAAATCGATGTCTTGATTAACAATGCCGGGATAAACAACAACAGCAACGAGACACCAGAATCTGCAGAGCAAACAGTCAACGTCAACTACCATGGTACCAAGCAAGTGTGCCAGCTATTCCTCGAACAAGGCAAGATGAAGAGCACACCAGGTGCGCGCATCGTGAACGTGTCCAGCACGGCCTCTGTCCTGTCAAACTACCCGCCAGCAACACAGTCTCGCTTTCGTTCCGTAACTTCCATCCCAGATATTGATACACTTGCACAAGAATACATCAAATCTGTTCAATCCCAGAATCAGGAATCTGCTGGCTTCGGCGCACCACCAAAATCTTACCAAGTCAGCAAAGCGCTTATGAATGCTCTCACGGTGGTTCTTGCTAAGGAAAACGAGAATGTGGCGATTAATTGCTGCTGCCCGGGATGGGTGGATAGTGATATGGGCAATCAGATTGGAAGGCCACCTAAAACTTTGGAGGAGGGTGCAAGGATACCGGTACGGTTAGGCATAGGACAGTTGGGTCATAAAGGGAATTTAGATGGTGGGTTGGGGGAGGAGACAGAGCGAGTTAGTGGTCGGTATTTTGGGAACGATGGGGTTACGGATCGGGGATGGGGAAAGGCGAGGGATTGGTAGGATCGTGGGAAGGGAAAGACGTGAATCTCAGGTTGTCTGGAAAAAATCGAGCATCAAAATAAGCAGACCACTTCCACGTTTACTACTCTCCATCTTCCATCAATCCAAGAACCACTTCGGGACCTCAGGCCCCCACACGGCTAGCGATTCGTCTCCCGCTTCACCCCACCCTACTGGCGTCTCTTCATTTACCAAATCACCATCGGCGTAATGCTCAATCATATTCCCTGTCGTATCCCACCAATAGTCAAACAATTGACTACCCAGTATATGTCGTCCCACACCCCACACGCTCGTGTACCCTTTTTGCGCCAACCACTCGTGCCCCAAATTCTGCGTATCAAAGTCGTGGACTTCGAAGCTGCAGTGATGAACGTGAGATGTAGGATTTGTGCTGAGAAAGATTGTGTGGTGGTCTGTGTAGGAAGGACCGATGTCGATGTGGGCGAAGATTGCTACGTCTTTCTGTTGGCCTTCGGGGGTATTGATATATAGGAAATCTGTAGGTACAATGTTGAAAGTGCGCGTATACCATTGCATTTCCGCTTGGAAGTTTTGTACACAAAGACCATAGTGGCCTAGTTTGTGCACTGCGGCCGGCCCCGGTTTAAAGCGCTGGAACCGTGCGACTCGTGGCTTCTCATTTTCGTAATTCGTCGTCAGGACTTCCGGAAAGGGACCGGGTTGTTTTTTAGTTTGGCCGTGAATGAGGTTGATGGGAAAGCCTTCTGGATCATGTAATGTGATCATGTGGCCACCTCCTGGCGCATCAATCAATTCCTCAATGGATCCTGCCCCTGGGACTCTGGAAGCCTTTTCTAGCTCTGCGTAGCTTTCCACTTCAAAACATCCGCCTAAGAACCTCTTCTCTCCCTGTTCAACGTAGTATACGTATTGGTCTTCGCCGTATCCTTTGAACCATTTCTTGCCTTGTGTTTTGTGGGCTACACTCATACCAAAATCACGCAGGAAAGTGGTTATTTCATCAAGATTGGGATGTTGGTAACGCATATGCACAAGTTTGGTGAGTTTTATCTGCGCTTCGCGGTCGATGTTTTGTTCTTGCTGCCATTGTCGGAGTGGTTTGCAAGGCTTGGGTATGGCAACTGATTGGTGGACGGAAGAACCGCGGTTTGGTGAAGTTTCCCGGCTAGGGTTCTGAGACAGTCGTCAGTAAAGTCCCGATAATCCGGTTCTTCCCGCAGTAAAAAGGTGTATTTTTATGGGCAATCTGATGTTCTTAAATATACCAGAGAGCAATCACAAAGGCGAATGTGGGGCCGATGCATGTACATACTGCAGGTGTGACTTTGTCGTTGAACTCGTCAAAAGCCATATCGCATAGAGCTTGAAGTTTGGTTTATTGAATGTATTCACAGTGCAAAAAGCGCAAAAATCAGATCAGTTCCTTGTTGCTATCACAGCCGGATGGAAGCGTATATAACGGATGTGGGGTAGGACATGGAACTCATGCCGATGTGGGGTCCCGGCATGTTCGTAGGGCTGAAGGCAATCCATCAGCGCCACTGGTTCGCATTCTCGGTCAGTAGTGGCTGAGCTGTCATGTGGAGAGAATCAAGATGACGCAACGTGAGTATGATACGGGTGTAATAATATTCCCGAGATGCCAATCCGAGTTGTTCAGTCGCCATGTCAAAGCTCCATCACTTCGGATTCTTTCACAGCACTCTTGGCCTCTTCTACAAGCTTGTTCAGCCAGGTACCCAGTCTGAGCGCGGCTTTGCTGATCTGCAGCTCTACGATGGGTACAGCGCCTGTTGCATATCCGCTGGTACCAAGATCGGTGCCGTTCACCACGCGACTATACACATAATCGCAATCCCACCTGTTGCTCTCTTTTGCCCAACTCGTAGCGCACTCCTCGGGTGTTGATGGATTGGTGCAAGCCAGCCACATGTACGGCGCCGAGTAGAACTGGTCTTTACGAATACGAGTAACGAGTCCTGAGAAGAATGGGTCGATCGACTGGTTTGAGAAAGGCTGCTGGACATTGGCCGAGAAATATGGTAGATAGCCGTCCCAGACCTTGCTTGTTAGCATCTCATCTCGCCATCAAGAAAAGACACTTACGGCATGGAGCTGCGTCGATACTCCACCAAACACCACCCTGAACGTATTGCCTCCTACAGCGCGACCACTCGCATGCAAGGGCTGGTGGATGTCGCCCAAGAAATGAGCTACCCACTTGAGTGCATAAGAGCATGTCAGGTTTTGGCTTCGGATCAAATCATCAGCATACACTTGTTGTACACATTCCTGTAGTATCTTGGTCTGATTTGCAATAGCACTGACAACACACCCGCCCTTGGCGCAATCCCGTGTATAGTCTAGACTGCAAGATTCAGGCTGGCGGTCGTGCGTGTCGATCCAGTGCCACTGATAGGAGAAATGACCTTCGCTCGTGTGCGCATACGCGTCTGCCCATGCTGCGGAGCGCCCGACTGAGCCGTTGTACTTGGGTTCGAGGATCTTTGCCAGGACGGACGTCGTTTCGGGTGTGAAGAAGGTCTCTGCCATGAAGGCGATCTGGTTATGAACTATATCGACTTAGTATTTTCCATGCGAAGAGGGTATATGTCGTACCGTCTACGTTCCATGCTGCAGTTGTCGCTATGAATACAGCTCCTACCAATGCACTTCCACGCAGCATCATAAGGACAGTCAGTAAGTTTGCGCGCTGAGCAGAATGGTGGAGACGTGTAGGTCCGAAGGTGCAGAAGCAGCTGATGTTTATAAGTGCTAGAGTTGTGGCTGGGTGGATGCGAGCTGAACACTACAGCTGAAAGTCTAGATTCCAGTTCGTATTGTATGGGAAGGCCAGATCAAAACACACCGAGATCTGTGGATGGGATCTCAAACCTTGAGTACATGTGCAAAGACAACATCGACAAACTCCAGTTCACTGACGCGTGATGCACCATGATGACGCGCCAGGCTCACGTGGGGAGATTGCTGCAGGGCGATCAGGCTAGAGCTAACACGGGAAAGCGTATCACGACTTCCCCACCCGGGCACAATCGCATCACAGCAGGTTGTGCCTCTAACTTCTGAATTATTCCCTGATGTATATATCACAGGACCTCACCTGGCATCGAGTTAGGTCAGCTCACACTCTGTCATCCATGGAGATCATGTTTGACGGGATATAAAGCGTGAGAAAGCAGTACCAGACGGGAGCCTTCACGGTTGCGACTTCCTGCCGTTACGCTCGAGTGAAGGTTGTTTGCGCATCGATAGCCGTGAGCTCCTTCTCAAACAGAAATGACCTTCACTTCCTTCTCTGCGACTCTGTCGCTGTCTCTTGATCTCGACCTACTCACCCTTTTCTATTTCTTCACTCGCTCGTATCTCATCGGCAGTCATCACGCACCTAAAACGCGTCTCAACTTCCTACAATATAACATTGTCGAAAAGCTTTCCAAACCTCACAGAGTCAAGCTACCATGTTCAAACTCCCTCTTCAGACCGTGCGCAGTATTGCCAGACCTAGATCACTTTCCTCCAAGCGCCACCTCAGACAAAATTCCAGCTCGGCGTCCGACCGCACCATGTGCGTTAATCGCGCCATTAATGAGCTACAGGCTGCACAGGGTACGACAACTACCGGCCGCATTGTCAACAAGATATGCACACGTCTCGCCAACGATAGGGCGACGACGCGTACGGAGCAATTGATCTGGCTCGCCAAGCATGCTCTTGAGACATCAGCAGCATTTAACCAAGATACCAATCGCAGTGATGATTCTATATCTCACAAGCGAAGAGAAAAGGGCGGAGATGGACAGAAGGCAGCCGCTTCTGAGGCGAAGGCCAAAACATCTCACGAAGGCGTTTCCGTGTGGCCATCTATGTGGTAAGTACAATGACGCTCCCAAATTCCCGAATGATGGCTTAAATCTTTGTACGAAAAGGTAGAAGTCGGCCGGTAGTACCCATGGCTTCGTGTATCAGACGGAGAGATCCTTGTTGGTTACAGGTGCTACTCTACCATCCAGAAGCCCTTTGTGGACGTGGTTGTGCGCAGTGCACATGGGCTCTCTGAGTTGCTATGTGGACCAGAGTACCCTATGTGGGCTTTCATGACAACACGAATTACGCGCCTAGATACGCGCGAATACGCGTAAGGTCGCACTAATGAGGTTGCGATGTACGCGGGCGGCCAGCAAGGCAGACTTGAGGTGGTCTTGGGATTGTCATATTCCGAAACAGTGCTACGACATGGTTACATATGATAATCTAATCATTCTCTCGTCCTTGATCACGGACGTATGCTCGGTGAATTCCAGCCCACTAGTTCTTACCGGCCGAACAGGTGAAAGGACGCTGGTGTAGAATGCACGACCAGCGAGTACAGCATGGAATCATGACGGAAAAATGTTGCGAGATGCAAATGGCAGGCCTAGGTAGGCACATGGGGCTGAGCGATGACGAAGCCCCAAGCAGTGGCTTTTGGGGGTATCCGCGGCCAATCACAGGCCAATAAACTCCGCGATGTCATAGCGCATGTGCATCCCCCATGCGAGTAATACAGGCTTGCAAGTGCTACAACCCTTTCTTAGTTCTGGCTACCTCTTCCGACGTTGTTTCTAGTAGCTCTGCTTCTACAATGCGCTATTTCTGATCATTCTTCTTGCAACCACCATGGCGAGCTCAAATAGTCCTGGGCAGGGCAATGACGCGACCCGCGACGATGCCCCACTAACACAGCAACATGCGCAAACGCACACCAAGTCAGTCCACCTGCTCAGATAGACGTCCCATGGCAACCTTGGGCTGATTACATGATAGCGCACCCTCGAGTTCTCAAAACAGCTCAGACATCAACCGTGTTCCCGCCCACGACGCACCGAGTCTCGAGAACCCACCACCCGCGTACACGGAGTTGCCAGGACAGGTCGATAATGAAGAGCTGGGCACAAATGCAGTCGTGGCCGACGATGGTCGTGTCAACATTCGAATAGACCAAAAGAGCCGTGCCCTTTCGCAGCTCATCCTCCCACAGATCCAGCGTCAGCTCACCCATGCACAAGAAGACCCCGAGCCGCCTCCACCTTACGTCCCAGAGTTCCTCGGTGGTGCACCCGGCCAGCAGCCTCCACCCCCGCTAAACGTCGTCATACAAGTCGTGGGCTCTCGTGGTGATGTGCAGCCATTCGTCGCACTAGGCAAGGTGCTCAAGGAAACATACGGCCACAGAGTGCGTTTGGCGACACACCCGACCTTCAAGGATTTCGTCATTGAAAATGGATTGGAGTTTTTCAGCATCGGCGGTGATCCAGCCGAACTCATGGCGTTCATGGTGAAGAACCCGGGCTTGATGCCCGGGTTCGACACATTGCGCAGTGGTGATATTGGCAAGAGGAGAAAGGGTATTGCAGAAATTCTGAGCGGCACATGGAGGTCCTGCATAGAGACAGGAAACGGCCTCGGCGTAGATCCTCTCCAGCAAACGGTCGAAGAGTGGATGGGCATCGAGGAACAACTGCCAGAACAACTGCGGAAGCCATTCGTCGCCGATGCAATCATCGCAAACCCTCCCAGCTTCGGACACATACATTGCGCCGAGAAGCTGGGCATACCTATACACATGATGTTCACGTGCGTCTATCCCCCTTCAGCGGCATCTATATACTAATTCGGACAGTATGCCATGGTCGCCTACGCAGCAATTCCCGCATCCGCTTGCCAACATCCAATCTACAAACGCAGACCCAACGATTACAAACTACATGTCATATATCATGGTCGATGTGCTGACATGGCAAGGCCTGGGAGATGTCATCAATAGGTTCCGCAAGGACAGTCTTCGCCTGGACCCCATCAGCGGAGTTTGGGCACCTGCTATGCTCGCGCGACTGAAGGTCCCTTTCACATATTGCTGGTAAGTTCATCTAGACGGTCGTGGATGATTTAGCTCATACTGCTCAGGTCTCCAGCACTCATTCCAAAACCCAAGGATTGGAACCACCACATCTCTGTGGCAGGCTTCTACTTCCTTAACCTCGCTTCAAATTACACACCAGATCCAGACCTTGCAGCTTTTCTCGATGGAGGCGAGCCACCCGTTTACATCGGATTTGGTTCAATCGTCGTGGACGATCCAAACGCCATGACTAAGATGATCTTCGATGCTGTGAAGATCACTGGAAAGCGAGCCTTGGTATCTAAAGGCTGGGGTGGGTTGGGAGCTGATGACCTTGGAAAGCCTGATGGTGTCTTCATGCTTGGGAACTGCCCACATGACTGGCTATTCAAGCGCGTTTCTGCTGTCGTACATCATGGTGGTGCCGGGACTACAGCAGCCGGTATCGCAACCGGAAAGCCTACCGTTGTTGTGCCATTCTTTGGAGACCAAGCCTTCTGGGGGGCCATGGTATCAAGGGCAGGCGCTGGGCCTGATCCCATCCCCTACAAAGATCTCACTGCAGAGAAGCTCGCTGGAGCTATTAGTGAGGCGCTTAAGCCGGAATCACTTGACCGGGCCCAAGAACTTTGCGACAAGATCAAACAAGAGAACGGGACGCAGAAGGGTGCCCAGTCCTTCCATCAGATGCTGAACTACGACGAATTGCGATGCGCTATCATGCCGAACAAACCTGCGGTCTGGAGGCTCAAACGTACTGACGTTAAATTGAGCGCCAAAGCGGCTACAGTACTGGCCCAACAAGGCGAAGTGAATTTTTCCGAAATGAAACTGTAAGCAACCACACAAGTGTACTGTTCCATCTACTTACAAGTATAGTTATCGCCCTCGCGAGTATGTTCCGGATGAAGGCCCTTGGGATCCAGTCTCTGGTGCAGCTGGTGCTCTAATGGGCACTGCAACTTCGGTCATGATGGGTGTTGCTGACATGCCTATTCAGACCCTCAAGTTGCTCAACATTCACCCTGATGCTAGATCTAAAAAAGGAAAAGAGAAGAGAACGGGCACTGGAACATCTTCAATAGGTGAAGGAAGTAGCAGCGGGCGTCCGGTGACAACACGAAGTGGAACTGGTGCCTCCGAGCGCTCAGGCAGAAGTGGTGCCTCGACGCCAACGGCTGCCGATGCTGCTGCTGACATAGCCCGGATGCAGGCCGACAATCCAGCAGTCACTAGCCCCGGCTCTCCTGGTACGCCTTCACACAGATCTACATTCATGTCCCAAGCACTTGCTGAATCTACACAAGGCTCGAGATCACGATCTAGAAGTCGTTCTAGATCTGCGGCTACTTCGACGGCTCCCTCTAACACAGCGCCTAAACCGTCCATGGCAGAAAACGTTGATTCTGCGGTAGACACTGGAAAGGGTTTAGCTAGGATCATTGGTGCTGGCTTCAAGTCTCCAATGGACTTCTCTCTTAACGTTGCTAAGGGATTTCACAACGTACCGAAGCTCTACGGAGCTGAAGTACGACAGGTCGACAAAGTTACTGACTTTCAGAGCGGCATGCGGACAGCTGCCAAGGTACGTTAAGTGGAATGTCGCGTGCCATGTGTACTAAGAACGTTACAGGAGTTCGGCTATGGCCTATATGACGGTATAACCGGCATCGTTACGGATCCTTATAAAGGCGCCAAAAAGGAAGGTGGTATTGGCTTTGTCAAGGGAGTTGGACGCGGTATTATGAGCGTTCCATTCCGGGTCATGGGTGGTGCTTGGTCTGTGCCCGGCTATGCTATGAAGGGACTTTACCAGGAAATGGTCAAGAGCAAGGGAAAGAGTGTACAGAATTACATCATCGCAGCGCGCATTGCACAGGGATACGATGAAGCATCCGAGGTGACGCAAGAAGAACGTGACGAGATCGTCAAGACTTGGGGCCACATGAAGTGGGGCATCAAGAAGAAGCGGAACGTCGGAGCTGAGCAAATGGACTCGCTTCATTCACTGGTCCAGCAGAAGAGAGACAAGAAGAATGAGCGCTCTGCCAGGCTCAGTTCGCAGACTGGTGGTCCTGGAGTTCAGCAATCGGCACACGCAAACTCTATTCTGCAAGGCAGCATAGCAGGTCCATATCCTGATCCACCAAGAAGGCGTGGTGTCGAGCCAGAAATTCGGTCAACAGTTCCTAGTTGGCGTCAACAAGAAGCCGAACGAACACGTGCTTTGAGGCGACAGGACACTGCCACTTCGGGTTCCCCATCGGTCGCACCATCCCAGCAATCGCAGGCTGATCTTGAGGCACAGCTCAGGGCGGAAGAAGAAGAAGATCAGCGTGAACTAGAGCGAGCTATTGCCGCATCAGTTGCAGAGTCCTCTCGAGGAGACCCTGAGGAAGACCGACTAATCGCCTCTGCTATTCGTGCATCAATCGCTGAACTCGAACGTGCCCCAGCCGGTAGCAACCCCTCGCAGCAGGATGAAGAGGAGGCACTACACCGTGCCATGACTGCCAGCATGGAAGAAGCCGGCAAACTCAACGTGACTGAAGAGGAGCAAAAGGCGCTCGAAGAAACATTGAGGAAGAGCCTACTCGAGACGAGCAAGAAAAGACAGGTTGGCAGCGATAACGAATGGGACTCTGATGCCGATACGGAAGACGACGAAGATTACAAACGTATCATCGCCGAGTCTAAGCAACTCGCTCATGTCCACGCGAACCACCCGGGCGAGTACGCCAATTCAGCTCAAGGCGCACAGCAGGAGCGTGGAGTTATGGATGCCATGAGCCAGGCTATTGGTGCCGCAGATGATGACGAATATGAAGATAGGAGTCATAGGATAGAGATGCGAGATGATGACCATGAGGATGATGACGCGGAGCTCAAAAGAGTGATGGAAGAGAGCGAGAAAGTGGAGAATGAGCGTATGCAGAAGCTGGAGAAGCAGAAGACGGAGGAGGATATCGTCATGGAGTATGTTCGGAAACAGAG